AAGCTACTGTAACTCTGGACTTGACCATAGTGGTGGGCGCTGTCACGTAGCTCACTGTTGGCCGCCCTGCAGCCAGAGCAGACAGACAGGAAGTGCTAGTAAATGTGCCATAGATTGTTGTACATGGAAATAATGGTAGTAGTAAGAAATTCTTGATACTGTAGGATTCAGTTTGTCTGGTTATGCTGGTTTGTGATGACAACTGCTACCATACCGTATACAGGGAATACATTTCCTTTTTTTTTTGGTTCAACAATAAATGTGTACCATATTCTTCTTCATGGAAAAATACAACATCCCCTGAAAATAAGACCTAGCACATCTTTGGGAGCAAAAATTAATATAAGACACTGTCTTACTTTTGGGGAAACAGGGTATTTGCTTATGTTCTACAGCAGTGGCTCTCAACCTTCCTAATGCCGCGATCCTTTGATACAGCTCCTCATGTGGTGGTGACCCTCAGCCCTCACATGATCTTCATTGCTATTTCATGACTGTCATTTTGCCACTGTCATGAATTGGGTGACTCCTGTGAAAGGGTCATTTGACCCGCCCCCCCCCCCAAAGGGATCACGGCCCACAGGTTGAGAACCACTGTTCTACGGTGAAATCAGACAGTATTTGTCTCTTTCAACTTATTTTGCTCAGCATGACGCTTTCAACATTCACTTCAGGACTTCACTTCTCACGATGGCTGAACAATATCCCATGGTGAGAACAATATCTACTCCCGCAAAGAGTTATAGACTGAGAAATTCACCGGGGGAAGTTCTCACCTGTCCTATAGGGTCGTTATGAGCTAAGATCGTGGTCTTCCTGGCTCTCTACTGCTTCATGTGGCTCCTCCAGGTCTGTGACCGCGTGGAGTTTGGCTCTGGTTTAGTTGCACATAAGCCACATCGCATGTATACGTCCGTCCGTTGATGAACATTTGGCTGGTTTCCACCTGGTGGCTGGTGTGAGTGGTGCCACAAAGAACATGGGTGAGCATGTGTTTGTGGGGCTGCTATTGAGTCTCGGGCATATCTGTACAGTACACGGTAAGCACTCCATGACTCACAGGAAGGTTGGCTGTTCGGCCGACTCAAACGTGCCTCTGAACAAGGCCAAAGATCAATTCTGAGTTCTACTCTGTCAATGGGGGGCCGTCTCAAGACAGCCAGCGTCCAAACACTGACAACTCACAACCCCCACGGTGTCCGAGGAATACAGCCTCCAACAACCGAAGGGCCAGTCGGTGCAATTGTAGGGCGATGATATATCAAGATGATAGTAAAATCATGGAGGATAGGAAAGACAGGAGAGAGAGTAGAATAAAGGAGTCTAACACATTGAATGGTAGCATGCTCACCTCCGCCCCTCTTGATGGACCACGTGGAACTGGGAAGAGAGACCGAAGTGTTACTGTCTTGGGACATTTATAGGTAGCCTTAAGACATGGATCTTCAAAAAAAAATTTTTTTTAAAGACATGGATCTTCAGTAGTGACATACATCACACAAGGTGGGTGGTATCTACAGTAATGCCCCTGAGTTCACAGGAGAGGAAACCTAATACCTGCATTGGGGGTAGGTATGAGGGGGGCTGGGTGACACAGCAGGAAGAGATAGCAAAAGGATGTCTGTTTTTATAGGGAGGTAGAATCAACCATGTGCTCACAGCATAGCTGTTAGGGGGAAGAATCTGTGGGAATGATACTTAAAGCAGGATCATGTACTTGGACTTTACCTCTAACTTACCAACGTGGAGGCTTTCCTACCGTGGAATAGTAGCTTTCCAGATTCCCTCTGTGATAAGTTAGGGAATCTAGTGCTTGTCCTGTTTCCCTCATTGCTAGTTTCCCACAGCACAGCATGGTCGCTGGACAATGTGCTTTTGGAGAAAACTCCCAGGTGGTTTTCCACAACGGTTGCACCAGCATGGAAGAGAGTTCCAGTCTCTCCACAACCTCAACAACACCTATTGCTTCTCATGTTTGTTTTGCTTTTTTCATTGCCAATCTAAGGACAATGAGAGGGCATCTCACTGTGATTTTGATTTGCATCTCCCTAATGATTGACACTGCTGGACAACTAGTTCTAATGCACGCACTCACATGTGGGCGCACACACACAAATGTTTCCTATCGTGTCAAACCCGAGGAGCCTCTGAAATAGACATTGTTAACCCCACTGTCTCTATTACCCAATGACTCATTTATATCCACACGCCCTGCATCTCCCCCAGCCCTGCTGACGGCCACTCCCCTCCTCACTTCCTTCTGATTAGACAAAGACACCCCCTCACTCTTCCCGCCCACTTCCCGCCCACCCCAGTGACTGTCTTGCTACAATAGTTTTTCCCAACACTCTGATTTCTCATAACATTCCCATGTTGCTCTTTGCTTTCCTCTCATGCCGACTCATTTTCACATCCTCCACGTCTCGTGCTTGTGCTCTCAGATCCCCGTGCTCCACCAGCCGCCATGTCGCTGCCAGATGCCATCAAGCCAATTCCAACTCCCAGAGACCCTACGTGCCACAGAACCTCAGTCCTGGGCCATCCTCGCGGTGGCTGTGACCGGTGTCCCTTGTTGCAGCCACTGCGCCCATTCACCTCATTGAGGACCTTGCTCCCTTTCACTAATGTTCCACTTGACCAAGTAGGATGTCCTCCTGATAAGAAGTCCTACTGCTCCCTGTCTCACCTGCCCCTCGTGCCCCACGAACATACCCCCCCCCCCCTGTGTACATGCACGTGGATTTATTTCTCCTGGAAAACCAGGGGGAGACCTAGGGGGACATAGGTAGAGAGGGACTCTTGGAGAGTGTTGACACTGAATTGGGGAATCACAGAGAGAAGAAAAGAGAGAGGAAGAGGGAAGGAAAGCGGGAAGGGAGAAGGGGGAGAGAAGCAGAGAGAGAGGGAGAGAGCAAGAGGGAATTCATAGTAAGGAGGAGGAGAAAGGTGGGACAGAAGGAGGAAGCATTGTTAGGAAGAGAGGGAGATAGAAGAAAGAGAAACGAAGATGTACAGAGAGCAATGACGACTGGAAGGAGGGAGAGAAATTGAAGAAAGAGACGCAGATGAAGAATAAATGGGAATGTATGTGGGAGAGGAGAGGGAGCCTTAGAGCCAATTGTGATGATGTCTATACACCTCTTTTTTTTAATCATTTTATTGGGGGCTCGTACAATTCTTATCACAATCCATCCATCCATCCATTGGGTCAAGCACATTTGTACATTTGTTGCCATCATCATTCTCAAAACATGTGCTTTCTACTTGAGCCCTTGATATTAGCTCCTCATTTTCCCCCCTATCTCCTTATACACCTCTTTTTAAAGGTTGTGTTAATCCAGGTTGACTAGAGAAACAAATCCAGAGACAATCATGTATGTGTGCAAGAGAGTTTTATATCAAAGAGAATTATATTAAGAAAAT